CAAATTTTATGGGAATAGATAATATAAATGCAACTGTTACAGATTTGTTGGAAGTATCTATTGTTAAAATCCTTTTAGACAGTAAGCTATTACATTTTATTATAAGGTACCCTAAGTCTAGTTTAGAATGTAAGAAAATCATTAGTTTCCCTGTTCAACACAATGAAACAACACTACACCTCGCTGACAGCAGTGTTGCAGGTTGCGGAACACAAACGTTGGCAATTGGAAATTGTAGCGCTACTCTAACATCATTATTTTGTCAAAAACTATCAGAAACAACATGCGCTCGACAGCTTTATTCAGGCGTCCAAGCCCATTGCAGCACACGACCCAGTCACCTTTAACCTTTAGTAATTATTGATGACAGTGTCATTATTCTTAACGAGAACCCAGCGGTAATCAACAACACCCAGGGTTCTACAACCATAGTTTCCGGCACATTTCCAATTACCTTTGAGGACGAAGTTACCATTAATGGATCCATTAACAGAAATCAGAAAGGTATTATAATGAAAAAACCTGCGTTTCTCAATATCACGGGTCATCAAGACATACTAAGTCTTCCTTATGTGCAATGATTAAGCGTAGAAAATCTACAGCATTTCAACGACGCAAAGGCAAATGCACTGATAGGTCCTGCAATTTCGGGGCTAGCAATGTCAATCTTAATTCTTGATCTTTTCATTGTTCTACAAAGACCAGAAACGAGTGGTATAGAACATCGATATTGAAGCCGTCATCGAGAACTACAAGAGGGCCTTAATGTAAGGGTGGGAGGAGTAAACAATATTAGTCTATAGTTAGAGTAATCCATTATCCGGAACTCTCCTACAGAGTAACCAAGCAGCAGAAATAATCTGAAAGTAAATGTAACAAAATGTAGTTCTTTATATGTTTCTTATGAACGACCCTCCTTTCGGTCACTACGGTTGAATATCTGATTTTCTTTACTAGCTCTCGTTTAAATTTTTAGGATAATTTTGTTTCAAGTCTTTTGTCAACTTTGAGAAAAATCTCCTGTTCGGATATGTATTGTTTGACTTCGTCTTTACCTTTGTTGTGATAGTTCAAATCCTTTTCCTGTTTCCTTTTCAGCATCTTGATATTATTTTCCCTTGTTCTTTCATAGCTTTCTGGGGAAAAAACCACAGTGCTCCCGAAAAACATATCTACTGGCTTATTACCGATTGTAGAATGTATTGAGTGGTTATATTCGTTTACGGATCAAAATTCCTACAAATACCTTCCTCCTTGAGACATCTAAAAATTTCGGCTGCCTGTCGTATTCATTTCTCTTGTATGTGGAACACATTTTTAATATTCTTTTAATTTTATAGAACAGTCTGGGAAAATATTATTTTTCCAATATGTGCATCTTACTTTCTACAGTATTTCTATGCGCACGATTATGAGTTCTATGATAATCGTTTCTTGATCAGATTCTGACAAAATATCTTCGAAAAATTTTTGAGTAAAACGAATTTTAAAATTTACAAAATGATGTGCATAATGTGCATAATGTGCATTCTTGAAATGTTCCCAATATAAACTCTGGAGTTTTAATGCAATTTATGACCGATGGGTTTAGGTATCTCTTTTTAAAATTGAAATATGTATTTCAGTATCATATTTTGGTTCCGATATTGATTGTCTATGATAGCCTGGAAAAATTATTTGAAATTAAATTGTAATCCGGGGTGTCGTTGATTACAAGAAAAATTGATTTTTGTTGCATTTATTAGTACTTCAACACTAGGAATAAGTTTTTCTGCTACTATACACTGTTCCCGTCAAAGAGTTAATATTCGTTCCAGGGGGTCTAGAAAGTGCATCAGCCACAACATTACTTTACCTGGTTTATATTGCATTTGATATTTGTATTCCTCCAGTATTTATTTTCATCTTTTTATTTTGGCAATTTATCTGGGGAATTTGATACCTATCTGCAATAATTACTGTATTAAGTTTTCTAAAGTCCACAACTATACTTGTTTTTCCCGGATGCAACTTGTTTTTTGAACGCGATGGTCGGATTATTTGATTCTTTAGTAACTTAGTTATTTCTTCGTCAACAATACTCCTTAGAGACGTTGGATAGGGGTAATTTTTTTAATAAGCGGGGGTTTTAGTTGTTGTTCTTATCTCGCTTACGACCCTAGTCGTGTACGTAAGGCTTTCATCAGGGTCTGCAAATAAAATCCCATGCCGATTGACGATGTTCTCCAATAATTTCTTCTTATATTCCGAAAGATGGTTTTTCCTAATTTCGATATTATTTACGTTCTGAGAAATGATCTGTTTAATTGGGACTTTTCTACCTCCCTTAACGGTAAAATAATCCTCGGCTGTATGAATCACAGCTTAGAATTCTATCGTTTCCTAATATTGCATCAAATGTTTCTAGTTCTGGTAGAAGAAAAAATTTTATGAGAATATCATCAAACAATTTTTATGTTTATGCTTTTTTTATAAATTTTGGGTTAATGTAATTTTTATTGCTGCCAGTGTCTAGTAATATTTTTAATTTTTTGTCGTTCCCCATTTCTGTTTCGAAATATGGAAATTCGAAATAGGGGAACAGTATAAACTAAAAAAGGTTTCCTTCGGCATACAATCAGTATGTATATGGAAATTTCGCTGAAATTTCCTCGCTGGAGCTTGAAAAGACTTTGTTGGCTTTTTTACTGCTAAATTGTTAGGTGGTCTGTTCATGTAATCGACCTGGCGGGTTTGGATTGAATTATCTATATCCATGGTCGTCGGTTTTGAAGACTATTTGGGTTGTGATTGAAACTAATGTTACTATTGAAATTCGGATTAACGTTAAAGTGAAAGTTCGGGTTGTGGTTTAAATATTGATTGCGACTATAAGTCGGATTAAAATTCGAATGATTGTTTGGGTTACGGTTAACGTTTGGGATGATATTACGTCTAGGTGGAAGAGGTGGTCTCAAGGACGGTGTTCCACAAACATAGGCAAGTTCGGGATAAAATACTCTTTCATTTGTAGAAGTCGCCGTACCGATCCTATCCTTTTGTAATCTTTTCCTTATTGCGTAGTATTATTCAGTTCTCTTTACTGAATCATGGAGCTTAAAGACTCTTTCTACGGACTTTCGCCAAGAGTTAAACTCTCATGGCTTACCAGAAAACTCTCTCAAAGACCTAACTATGTCGGGAACCTTGGCTAATTTTTCTAATCTTGCAGTGACAGTCCCTATGGGGTGATCAACTCCCTCGTCAGCTAGATGATCAGACGATAACTGCCAAGCCTCTTTTAACTTTAGGGATACCTATTCCATATGTAATGTGGTAAAAGCCGTTGGTTGGATCATTGTCTGTGTCCTATTTAGTCTGTCCGTAAGTTGATTGATCGTTTTGTCAGGCATTGTAATAAAAGGACAAATCAGTTTTAAGGAATAAGTTCCAGGAACAATAAACAAATTATGCAATCTATACCAAAGAATTGCATAAAACTAAACTTCTTTTTGAATATCTTCTAAATCTTACAACCGCACATATAAACATTTTCATTCTCTTCTATTTAGCTTACGATCTTGTACCATGGGTAAAAAAGTTTTTACGACCGCTGATCTATTTTGAGACCTCCGGTTGACCTCTTATTTTCTGAAGAGGTTACCAAAAAAATTATGCAATCTTAACCAAACTATACCAAAGAATTGCATAAAACTAAACTTCTTTTTGAAAATCTTCTAAATTTTACAACCGCACATATAAACATTTTCATCCTCTTCTATTGAGCTTACGATCTCGTCCCTTGGGTAAAAAAGTTTTTTGTCATAGAGATTATCCCAGACAAAAAACAAGGGAAGTGATGAGGATTGGTGGTTCTTTCCGAAACCTAGGTATTCCCTGCCTTACCCCCTTGGTAAACATTACCATCGTCCTCCACTAATAAACAGGCGTTGTTTTTTATAAAAACAACAATAAAGGCTGACCATTAAGCCTGACCATTTTGCAACAACAAATACTATGGTATCCCGAACAAAAAAGCCAACACTGTTTTAGTTATTCAAATTTTTTTGTTTTGTGCTTCGTTTATTTATTTTTCTTTAGCTATTTTATTAATATAAATGTTCACTGTACGTTTCTCTTTTCTTTATAATTTTTTCCTTATGTTTTTTTTTCTTTGAAATTTTTAACTGCTTTCTTTAATTTTCCTTATTTGTTTTTTATATTATTAATCGTTCTCTATTATTTGTTCGTTTTCTCAAATATTTATTATTTCCCCTTTTTGTCACTTAAGTTTGATTTTACTTTAAAATTTTTTAACTGTTTCATTTATTTTTTTTATGTTATTTTATAATGTTCCTCTTTTAATAACATAAGTACTTTTTACTCTCAATTTTTAACAGTTTCCTTTATTTTTTATGTTTTTTAAATTTTTTCTTTTTTGTTCACTTAAGTCTTTTTTTATACCCTCCACCTTGGAAAGGAGGGTATATTAACTTTGTCATTCCGTTTGTAACATCCTTAAATATTCGTCTTAGACCCCATAAGGTATATATATTCATAATCAGCATAAAATTCTAAGTCGATTTAACGATGTCCGTCTGTCTGTCTGTCTGTCGAAATCACGATACAGCCCACATTATCTGACGTAGAGCGTCATATATATATATATATATATATATATATATATATATATATATATATATATATATATATATATATATATATATATAATTCTTAACAACTAAACTGCATACAACAGAGTTCGTTATATATATATATATATATATATATATATATATATATATATATATATATATATATATATATATATATATATATATATATATATATATATATACGAACTCTGTTTTATGCAGTTTACTTGTTAAGATTTATTGTATAGAAGAGCGTAACCAACACCTTTTTATAATGATTCATTTAGAGACAAGACGATCGTAACATTATATTTCTTTTTAATAATACAAATAAACTTATATAAGTGTACTTTTGTTTACTTACAGTTCCTCCGCTTGATATTCGACTGTTAGGGGCTTACCAGCCTTTGTCAGCAGGACGACGATATGATTTATTATGTCAAAGTGCTGGATCACGTCCACCAGCAGTAATAACGTGGTGGCTAGATGGGATTCGAATGGAAAAAACTACGGAAACTGTAAGAGCTTTAATATGTTTATAATTTTATTTTGAAATAAAACTAATTTTTAAGAGTAAGGCTTTACTAATACCAACATTTTTCAAACTCTGGCACAAGGACTTTAGAATAGTAATTATACAAATAGTATTACAGTATACGCATATTTGCACATAAGTTAATAATCAAAGTGCTCATAAAGATTCACCATGAGGCATTGACCTTAGAAAAGTTTGGCTGAAATTATCAAAATGAAGTACTTCGGGGGGTACCGCATATAGCGGCTGTAGAGAATGATGAATTTAGATTAAAGTTTGAAAGTGTAAAGATCGATGATCGGCTCGTTTTGATATAATACTGGTAGAAGATTTTCATCCTAAAATTTCAGTTGAATTGGCCTCAATTCCATTGCAGGAAATTATTAGCCTATGGTATAGTTTAAGTAAAATATCACAAAAACTAACAGCATTGACAACATTTCCGTAAGATGATGTGTTAAAAACCTTTATTTACACCCTACAAAAGTGTTACACGGTTTTATGTATTTGTGCATTTGTTTGTAACATGCACTTTTTATACCCTTCACCATTTGGCACAAATTTGGCAATTTCCAAAAAAAAAAATCCGTTAAAAATTCTGTTAAAATCTTAAAAATACCGAATGCCTATACGACGACGTGGACCTGCATAGGTAACTTTTGTCATAAGTTATTACAATATTTAAATGCGAAACTTGAAGAAAAATCTGTTTATAATGGGTACCGTTATATGGGGGATACACGAAGACGTGGACCTGCACAGACAATTTTCTGGCATGGACTGAAGTATCCATTACGAACTTCACATGCCAAATTTCAAACAATCCCGGTAAATAATGTCGATAAAATCATCTAAATACCGAAAAGGGGGGGGGGGGTACCGTTATATGGGGGCTATATGAAGACGTCGACCTACATGGCTCTTTTTTTGACTTAGGATGAAGTATCCATTACGAACTTCAAATACCAAATTTTAAACGATTCCGGTAAACAATGTCGCTAAAATCATCAAAATACCGAATATCGGGGGTACCGTTATATGGGGGCTACACGAAGACGTGGACCTGCACATATAATTTTCTGTCTTAGGCTGTAGTATCCATTTCGAACTTCAAATGCCAAATTTGAAACAATTCCAGTGAATAATGAAGCTAAAATCATAAAAAATATCGAATATCGGCAGATACCGTTATATGGGGGCTGTATGATAACTTGGACCTACATAGCCCATTTACGAACTTAACCTGCCTACTGGCAAAATATACATGTGTGCAAAATTTTAGCCTTCTATCTTAATTTGTTCGAAAGATAGCGTGATTACAACAGACAGACACACAGACAGAAAGACGGACATGGCTAAATCGTCTTAGAATTTTACGCTGATCAAGAATATATATACTTTGTTGGGTCTGACATGAGTATTTCGAGGAGTTACAAACGGAATGACAAAATTAATATACCCTCCATAGTATGGTGGAGGGTATAAAACCTAAAGAGTTGATTCGCTTGTCCGAAAGTGTTGAACTGCCGAATTTTGTTTTCTTAGATGAGAAAACATTCGTTGTCCAGCAGTTTATAAACAAACAAAATGATCGTTTTTACTTGCCAAAGAGGTCAGCTGAAAATGTGCACCTTCGGTTGACCAATTCATGCCAAAGGTGACAAATTCGAACAAATTTAAAGTTATTCTAAAATTTTGTTGCTCTCTTCAGCATTTGTTTGCTTTGATTCAATAAAATTTAGAAACAAATTTTAAGATAATGGCGTTTGACTTTGTTGCAGTTTTTTACCTCACCCTGTATATATAGTTTAGGCATACCTTTGTATGTCTCTCCGATTTGGATATAGCTCCCATATATATCTTTGTTCGATATCAAGTGCATTGTTCGCCAAACGAGTTATATTAATCCAAAATTGCCTACAATCAGGTGTTTTTAAGTGTAACCCCCAAATCCGTATAACACTCTCCATAAACAAGGATTTCCGGGTACATCCAGAAATACCTTTTCCAAGTTTTTTCGAGATCGGTTCAGATTTGGATATATCTCCCATATATATTACCCTCAAATTTAATGTAAATATTATGGCCAAATAAAGTTTTTCATCCAATTATATATTTATTTATTCTGCAAATCATAATATGCATTCCATAGCAACGATATATAGTTCAAAAGGGCACATGTTGTATCCTACCTCTGTAAAGGTTAGTGGAAATCGATTAAGATATAGCTGTTATAGGTCAGTTTTAACATATTTCATATTTGAACCGCTGTAAAACTCTAATATAAATTGCTAGTATGAGCGTTTATTTGCTGCAGTTGACTCTACTATATATTCATAGTGGTATTGGGTATCATAAAGTTGGCAACGTTTAATTATTTGTTGTTTTGATTAATCATATGACTCATCAATCAAACATAAAACCAGTAAAGAAATGCCAAAGTCGGGCTGAGCCGATTTTATGATATCCTACACCACTTTGCGTCTAAGACATAGAATTATAAAGATGTGACAAGACAGAATCAAAATATTGTCGCCAGGTGTAAATACTTCTGTTGTTATGATACTGTAACAACATAGTTTCCAATGTTTAATGATTTAAGCCTCTAAGGTAATATGCAATTAATTGGGAAGGTCTATGGAATAGAATTTTGAAAACAAATGTTTTGATTACAAAAAATAAACTTTCGTTGTAGGGAATTTTAGAGAATTAAAACATATCAACTATGATTGTTAAAGGAGTTACAATATATATCCGAAAAGAACAAATATATGTCACCGTATCGTACCTAATTTGATGAATGTATATGTGTCTGACAAAATCCATACTATTTCAGTTGATATTTTACATTCTAACCATGAAGGTATATACGACAGCTATATCCAAATCTGAACCGATTTATATTAAATTAGGCAGGAACGAAATCGATGCAATTCGGACTTCTAATACCATTTTGTGCACAATACATTTTTACCGTTTTTCTCCAATTTCTATAGGGTTCGTCCTTGGACCAAATAAATGTTGTGTGTAAAGTTTTATCTTGATCGGACAATAAATGCGACCTGTAATTACAAAAGCACATGGATAGACGGACGGAATGAATAAATCGACTCAGAATGTGATTCTATGCAGATCATCAAAAGGAACTATGGGTCCCGCTTCCTTTTCTATGTTACGAATAAATAGACAAAGGCATAATACCCTGAACACAGTGTGGTGTCGCGTATAAATAGGATAATGTGAACTGCCAGTTAGGCATTTCATAACCAAAATTCACATAGATGGGGTTGATCTTTTCTAATGATACGAAACTTACATTATTCTGTTTATGATATAATTTTGCGTGATTCGTAAAACTTAAAGTTTTATTTTTTACATATTAGTTTTTATTTTGGTTTATGAAAAATAAAATCTATATTAATAAAAGAGTAAAGTATTCGACTGACTGATTTAACGATTCATTAAAAAGTAATAAAAAGTACAATTTCATTTCGTATTATGTGAACGGTTAGAGCTAAAAACTTAAAATTTGGAATTAGAATCAAGGTTGTCGATGTAAGGAGAAAGTACACAAGTAAAAAGTACTAAACGGTACCAAAATTAGTACTAATTTGAATTTGGAGGAACGGATGGAGCTGGAATCCTGCAATTTAAAGTTAAAATTAGTGGCGGAGTTTTGCATTGGGATATGGAGGTAATTTTCTATATGGGTGGACCGATAGAGCTGGAAATATGAAATTTAGAAATAAGATTACTATTACGTTCTAAGGCTGAGGAATGTAGGGAATTCTGGAAATTCGTACTTGGTGTGCTAAATGGTACTAAATCTAGTACAATTTACATTTTGGAAGGGCTAATAGAGTTGGAATCCCGAAATAATATTTCTGTTTGACCGTATGATGTGGGTACTTTTGAAAATTTGTACTAAAATGTACTTAATTTAGTACAATTCAGATTAAGGTGAACCGATAGAGCTGGAATCCTGAAATTTGGAATTAAGATTACTGTTTGATTGTTATATGGGGTGGATTATATAGGAAGTTTTTGAAATTCGCATTTATCTGTACTATATGGTACTAAATGTGATCATTTTTGACGACCCGATAAAAATGGAATATTGAACTTTGGAATTGCGATTACTGCGGAGTGTAGGATTGACGTATGTAGGAAGTTTTGGAAATTCGTACTTATATGCAATATTATTCCTAAATTTGGTACAATTTAGATTTGGGTGAACCGATAGGGCTGAAATCCTGAAATTGGTTAATAAAATTTCTTTGGGTTGTATGATGCAGGCTGTTATTAAAATGTGTGCTCTTTTACAGGTGCCTTTTTCACCTCCTTCTGATATTTTGTTGGGCATAATTGTCCCACATGTATCAATAACCATATACATTTTATCCAGTACATCATTACCTATAACCATTGGAATATTAAATCTGATTTGTCTATAGTATGGTTTCTTAATTTCAATCTCCAATTTGCACTCCAATTTGGTTTGTGCCCTACACCCTTGCATTTAAAACATTTTGTTCCGGGTACCTTGCATTGATTTGAAAGATGTCTTATTTACCACTTTCAAACTACGGGCGGACATTTTGTTAATATTGTTCTCGGTTTTAGTTTTCTTCATATAAGTAGATGAAACTACAAAGCCTTGCTTTTTATCGTATATAGTTTTGAAAACCTTAAGTCTTTATTTTGTTTAGTGTAGGGTATTCCTTCTATTAAATAAGTTATTAAACTTCCATCATCTTTGGCAGACAGAAAGACGGACATGGCTAAATCGTCTTAGAATTTTACGCTGATCAAGAATATATATACTTTGTTGGGTCTGACATGAGTATTTCGAGGAGTTACAAACGGAATGACAAAATTAATATACCCTCCATAGTATGGTGGAGGGTATAAAACCAAAAGAGTTGATTCGCTTGTCCGAAAGTGTTGAACTGCCGAATTTTGTTTTCTTAGATGAGAAAACAT